ATCCTCGACACAGGTGCGCGGAGGACACACAGTTTCTCATAGAACTCGTTCTTCGCGTCTTTATTCAGTTAATGGGTGGGACACGGGGATAAGGGCTCTCCTATCACAGGCTGCCTTGCGCCAGGTCTCAGGGGGTAGGGTTGGGGCAAGTGTTAGGGTTAGGATTACAGTTAGGATATAGGAATAAGTACCACATTAGGAGCTTAGCGCACGGCCGCTTGTAGTACGGGAGGGGGTCACTTATCCCCCGCAGAATGGTAGCCTTATGTTCATGAGACTATCACCGATTCCTCGCTGAGGACAGGACCATTGTCCCTCGATGTGTTTTCTGATGGCGGAATGAACTCAGGCGTCTCGTGATTACCAGTGCAAAATAAGATGTAGCCTGCATCGATATCATTAACCTATCCTCGCTCGTGAACGGGGCCTCAGTGTGTGCCATAACCTTCACATTAGGACGAACCACTTTTCAGACAACTGGAAAATCATCCTTTATGTGGATTGACCACTGTACCATTGAAACGGAAATACTCATGAGATTTCATTCGGGGCCTATAAGTCTCAAAGGAACTGATTTACTCCAAGTTATCGATTAATTTTTGAGGAAATTATGAAGCTGCGATTTCACAACTGAAGTATCTGGTGGAAAGCACACGGGGAATGTTGGGGGACCCATTGGTGGGCCGAACCCCCCACAGCTGTGTCATGCAACGGCAGAATATCGATAAAACACGTGTCAGGACTCATAGCTGGCGCCTGTGTTGGCAAGTATGTCATGTCGTGCCCATTTCCGAGTTTCCACTGAATTCTCCTTTCATTTCCTCCTGTAGTTCTGGAAGAGCTCCACAAACTAAAAACAAAGAGAAAGTCTTTGCGCACCTGCTGAACTGTCTCATAGAGGGAAATGGAAGAGATAAATATTAACAGAAAATCCGAATATCGTGCGTCGGCTCGAAATAGTTTTACGACTATCTGGGGAGAACAAAGATGCAGCCGATATCAAAAATAAAAAATTCTAAGGTTTGCAGACAGGCTCAGCTGACTTGCTGTGCCTTTGGAGGGTAGAGTACCGAAATAGGTCTTGACAGGTGCATACTATGTCAGGTTGGCACATGATTGAGCCACTTCCCTATTTTTGTTCGTAGAACCAAATTGGACCAGTAACCTATGACAACAGAATCCCGGAATGGAAGAGCTGCAAATTAAAATCATCAAAGGCACCCTTCAATCTGCATCGTATGGCGAGAATGTCAGAGAAGGAGTACAACGAATTTATCGGCAATCGTGTGAGTTTCCCCCAAACTGTCGTCATAATGTATGGCAACCTGCACAAGTTATATGAGATTTTGCACAAATCGTCTGCTCTATGCACGAGTGATAACGACTGGCTGTAGCTTGAACTTCCGTAAAAAAATTTACGTCCGGGAAATAACGACTAAAGCGAGTTTCCTGCGAATTACTCTAAGACTTCATTTACTACTTACATCACATCACCACATATCCGATAATACATTTCCACGCGGATACGTTTGCAACACTGTGGAATTTGACATCGCTGATGGTCATCGTTCATTGCTATAAAATGACTTTAATTGTTTTCTACGAGTTTGGTTTTCCGAAAATCTCGCGGAGTGTCATGAGCCTCACAACCTGCCATAGGGAGTGAATTAACCTTCGTGCTTATCAAGTACAACCGGTTGAAACTCGGTCAAGGCCATGACGTGACAAGCGGCGGATGTGGAACAGTCAGGGGCTGAACAGATGCATGTCTCCTATGCAACTCTATGCAGATCTGGTGTTAACATTTGGTAAAAGGAATCGCAAACACTTTTCTTGAGCCTTTATTGAGTGGAAGGCTATGCGAATCCTTTTCTTCCGTTCCACAGAACCCTTACAGTGGTCCCGGCCGGTACACGCCGTACGAATTTGAGAATGCCCATAACCGCCGTTTCCAGGGTCTATTTAAAGTTGTGCCGCGAAACTTTGATGCCCAGAAGTACAAAGTTCAGAGGTAAGTGGCTCTTTGGAGAAAAAAGCTTAATTCCTATTTCCTTCAGACACATGCTTCATATTCAACCTTACACTTGGATAGTTGACGGTCCCTATAGGGCGAAAATACTATTTCAGAGACGAGAGCAGAAACGCACAAAGCACGCACTTATGATAGGCCTTGACTAAATCTTCGTCACCAATCAGGCATATCTACGTCAGACCGGAAGAGCTCGAGACGTCGACTCCGGTCGGTCTTCGTGAAAGGGCTCAAACTTCGACAGTGGCAATTGTTGGTCATTCCGCGGCTCGGGTCATTTTACACGAAATAGTAAACCACAGTTGAACGCCCCTGTCTCTTTGTTTGATAATTCACCATGTCTAAAGTATATTCCGAGACACTTATGCCTAGTAGTTACAGAAATTACCCCCATCACACGCGGGGATACGCATCAAACAAATGAGGCGAGCGCAGGATGCACAGCTGCGGGCAATGTGCAGCAGACAGAGGATCGCTGTCTGATCGGAAAAAATGCCCAGGATGCTACTTTTCCAACATCGGGTCCTTGAGTTAGAACGACCTAAAGAGCAGCTCGACAGGCGAGACAAACGTGAGGTCGAGGCGCCACCTAGGCAGCAAGCGCAGTGGTGGAATATGTATTTGGTAAGTCTTGACTCAAACGTATTGGAGGTCTACCACAGCTTCGCGTTACCCAGACATCTCAATACGAAGCTCTTGAGTGCCCATGCTGACCCATGCATGGAAGAGTGCCGACGTACCTGAGGATGCCGTTCTGTTAAAGGGACAGGTCAGAAGACGAAGATGCGGTCACTGGAACAAGAAATTTATTGGCCTGACGTTTCGGATTGTCACTCGAACCCATCATCAGAGACAGTCGCAGATAAGGGACAGCATTGAGAACATGAGAACACCGGTCGTAAGGATGAAATACACTGTAAGCTTCTCTAGGTACTATTCACAATGCAGAAGTAGACGTCCCGCTGCCTCTGCGCCACGACCAACCTAAACACGGCCAACCAACGCCGTAATCGAGGAAAATAAGGTCCTCTAGTGTGCTAAAGTGCGATGATATGCTCTCATTTGCAAGTGTGACAAGATACATACAGTCAAAACTCTCGGGTGGTAATAGTAATATTAAAAATGGTAGCTTATTACTCTTTTTTCTCCTCTAGTGAACGCAATAGGGCACTCAACGTGCCACCTACGGATCCAGACAAGTGTCCAGCCCCAGTGGCCTCCAGCCTAAAATTACGGTGAACAGGCGAGGAGGGAACCGCCCTGAGAAGACGAGAGTGAACTGGTGACATTGGAAACCGGTCTGAGGTGGTTCGGTGAAGTCGATGATAGTTATAAGTAGCCTCCCTCTCAAGAACCCCTTCTGGGAGATGAGAGCATTGCGCATGTAGACACTTCCACAGACAAGTCATTAAATTATATAAAACAACCAATCCTGATCTTATTATTTGTTCCGTCCAAATTGCTTGCAGGTGGGCAATTTTCCTATATGTAAGTTTAACTAAACAATGACGGAAATGGTTCAGTGTGATTGTGGACAGAAAGAACCTACCTGGGCGCAGTTACAGCACTGATAGAACGTAATCGTAAGCCGAGCTATACACGGCAATGTGCTGGCCTTGTTTGATTATTTTCTCGGTCAGATGAACAATTCGCTATTTAATCAGGACGTATGACCAGTGATTTACGTTGTTTGGATTAATAAAATGCCAGTTCCTAGAGAGTACACCAGAACATTTTATTTCCTTGTAGGACACAGTAAGACACCGCTCCCCCGTAATAGAGATGGCCTTGCTCTAAATCCCAGGTAAATCAGGGTTAGGACATGGGAATAGGTACTCTTCCCGAAATTTAGTGCGAAACCACCCATATTGCGGATGGTTCCTATTCATATCTCGCCGACTTTTTTTTACCCACTTTGCGGAAAACGTACGCCTCGCCTAAACTCTCGACTCAAGAGGAGTTACCAAGGTTTCGTAAATTTCACTCGTCGTACACTCTGAAACAGTCTGCATTTCCCACTTATTACAAGATTTGCAAACGAAGTGCCACACATTTCTGGTAAACATCCCCCTTTTTCAGCGTGTTCCCAGAAGGGGACAGAGATCGCCATGTGATCGTTAAGTATAACTATAGGCATGAGTTGCAGAATGACCTTGGTGAGCAGCACTAATAAGCAGGCAGGCACTAGACCGGGTGAATAATCCTGTAAACGTCACAAAGATGCTCGTAAGCGTAACTTCCTCTCAAATTCGAGATAGGCTCCTCGTTAAACTACAAAAATTGAAGATATCTGCTACAAACGAATACGGAGGATTACTTTGTGCGTAGTTTCTGTGGAATGTGATGAAATTTGTACGTCTCGAGAATTAATGGGGAAATGCGTCAAGTTAGTGGCTATATGCTCACTAGTATTGAGTAAACGGACGGCCCGAAGTATGCAAAATGAAGTCAACATGCTACCAGGCAGAAAAAGCCCAGGTTTACGGTGTGTGTTGATTAACAGCAATTATGGAATATCTCTGTCGAAAGGTTAGAGGTGTTGGTCAATATTCAATGGCTTGTGGTGCATACTATAGGCCGGTTGTCGACGTAAGTAATTCATAGAGTATGCAGCTTGCAAGAACATTACTGACAATTGTTTGGTTCCAAACATAGTTTTGAGTTTAGATAAACCCACGGCAGGAATTAAAACGACAAAGGGCAAAGGCAAGTTAATAACGTATTAGTTGGAATTCACAAAATGTACACTGTCAGCTAATATAAAAAGAGAGGAAACTTTATAAGGGCCTAGGGGTCTTCCGTTTAGGAGAAACTGTCGATAAAAATCCGTGCAGGCGACGTGCATGCCATGAAAGACTGCTCAATCGAAGGACCAAAGGGCTTTAAACGGGCTTGAATAGAACACTATACATCAGCATAAAATTTGCCTCTCCTCAAAGGAAATGAGGCCGATTGCTGTACAGGTAGTCGACTACTTTTGCTTGGCCACCTCTTCTTTATTCATTTCAAAAAGACGGAGAGTGAGACGTTGGTTCATTTTGGCAAACTTCTGTGAACATTTCTCGATACAATCGAGCTGAAAAAGGAAAAAAAAACCGTGAGAATGAAACTGATTGTAGACTTGAACTAAGACGACAGTTGCCTCTTCACAGGAAAATGCCGCACCTTAATCATCCTTTTAACAGTCTTGTTATGGAAGTCGATGATTCGGCTAAACAGTCCGGTTTATTTATACTTCTGTCTGGATTTGGAGGTATCAGCAGCCGAGCTCATGCATTCAGTAACTTCCAAGTCCTCGATGCTACCATTTTAATGAAATGACTAATCCGAGCGTCTGACTGAGCCATGGGGACTTTGAGAGGACGGGTATAATTTAATCAAGGTCCGTTGTATATGGTGCGGTAATGTAAAAAGTCTGTTACCTTCGTACTGAAGCGCATGACAACGGCAGGCTAGTATAGCCAGTTTTGTCACGTGGGTGCGCAAAATTCTGGTGTAAAGCGGCCCAACGCGACTCAGATGTTTTAAATAACGGCGATATCAAGATTGGCCAATTCGGCAGTCAGTCTACCTCAACGGTGAGTGAAGAAAAGGGCGTAAAAATAGCAGCGTTAGTGGATGGAACACTAGTATATAGGTGTGGTCTAAAACTTCCGGTTCCAGAAGGCCCGGCTTCCACGCTTGGCGCTGAGTACTAGGACGTCATGCTGCCTGACTTTCATTGTGAGTGTGACGCCTTGCCTAGCATATAGGTCTTTGACAAGACATCCGAGGCCATCATTCAGCGAAAAACTGCAAGAGCTGCTTGATAATCTCAGATGATTTAAGATGGGCCCTCTGGCAAATCCAAAAAAACGTACCTACAGATGGGGGGGAGGGGGGGTTGTAGCTGTGTTTATCTTTCGAAAAGTAGTAATCCATCATAGACGACAGCGACATCAGGCCTCCTCACATTGTCACTGATAGATCACTGCCCGTACATCCAAATTATCTCTTGCGTCAGGACTTACGGACAAGGAATAATCAGGGCAGCTTCTGTCGAAACCTTTTGATATAGATACACTGCGTGGCCTGTGTGTCTACTACACGTGCGTCGCGTGTTTGTGCTCCATTAAACAAATTTGTCACTCTGGGTACGTCTGAAACGGACAGCAACGGTTGCCGCGGAACACAACGGTGTCCCCCTCTGTTGAATGGCATGGTCCAACAATGCGCTGTGCCAAAACGGATGGTAAAGGGCTTGGAATGTCGCCTCAGCCAAACGGGACCCTAACTTTAGACAGCGTTGAAGTGACCAACGAAAGACGAGAAAACGTGGGGGAAGCACCACTCAAACTTCGGTCATTGATTTATACTGAGGCACGACGAAACAAGTCGAATCAGTAAGGCTGTGTCGCCAAAATTAGTAAGTGGATGAGGCGAGGTTTGCTTCAAATGAAAAAAAGCTTCGGAAATATAAGGGATTCCTGTAAGCGCCTCACAAATGAGGTCGTCTGTTGAGTGAGAGGACATAAGAAATATACACTACCCAGATAACATGATGGCTAATAGACAATGAAGTGTGTCGACGATTACTTCTAGAGGATCAGTTCTTAGGAGAATTTCTGTGCATTTTGTGATTTAAGTGACAGAGGAGAGATAAAGTAAATGGAGGCCGAAAAATTGTACATACTTCAGAATCCTGCAGCTTTCGTGAAGTGAAATTCATAACGCACCGATCAAAACAGACACTTGTGCAGGTAACGTACAAGTCTGAAGTCTCCTTTATTTGCATCTATAATATAGAGTGGAAAGAAACAGCGATTTATGTCTGACTTAGCATTAGAAGAACAAGTAACCAGACTGATGAATGTTCCATCTGCGAAGGCTTGTTGGAATGTTCGGTTAGCACCAAAGGATCAGAAAAAAATTCCCGCCGTTGTCGACCAGTCACTTCACACAAGAAAATGAAGGCAGATTGGAAAATTTTGCTATCCCTAGTTCTACTTCAATTGAGTACCTCGAGCCCAGCTACAATGCAGAAATTTAGTACCATGATGTGCTAGCGACTAAAGGCTTTAGAGGATATCTATTGAGCATCTAAACCCTATCGCGAAATCCGACATTGCTCTTGTTGGTCATGAATGCTGTTCACTATCGGCCGAAGAACGCCTATACGTGACGACAATATACCCGTTTTTAGTGTATTTGTAGTTGATTTGTCGAAGGAGATGGCCGTGGAGTTAACAATGTCCGTCCAGAAAGATCGGTTGCACTGCATAACGCAAATTAGTGCAGAAATGTACACAGACACCACCCCATAGACATGCGTTTGTTACATGAAGACGTAACGTCGTTAATTGCCATGTCGAAGAAAAACATCGTTGGGCTATACGGTAATGTGACTGGTGGAGTTCATAAGAGACATGGTCTGGACAGAAAGATCTGGGATTCGGGAGCGGATGCGTAAGCGCCTACTATGTGTGGGAAATTGCCCGTCATTAACACTGCGGAAAGAATGAGGCAGACTGATTATTAGAGGCATGCTACGGTGTACTGGATAACGTCTGCCGAAACAATTAAAAAGAGGCGCCGGTTTTAAATCGTATTATCTGCCTAGCCGGTCTTCAAATTTCAAACTGACTAACTTCAGCTGTGGTTGTTTTGGGCACTATGATCGGCAACCCGAGTATCACTAATTCGCCAGATCTTGTGGAGATCTACCAGGACCACGATAGTTGGAGTTAAACCAAAAGCAATGCTTTGTAAAATTCGGTCAAAGAAGGACAAAAAGTAGCCCACACGGCACGAACCGCCAGGTCAATTGCAGCTTTAACCACTCAAGGGAAACAAAACGTTTCCTTGTAAACGCCCAGATATTTGGCACGAAACATGTGATGTACAATCGGTAGGTGTGAAAAAGTTATCCCAAGATGTTTCAAACTGGGTTGAAAGATAGCACAGCGTAACTAAGTGATGTATTTGGGAATAAACAGTACGAGAGACAACAAACAAGGAAACCAACAGTGAATAAACGCTCTAGAGGCGTACCGATTACGGGATGTTGCAAGCGCAAAAGATAACTTATAAAATGCGAAGGGACAACTGACCTTATTCAGATATTCAGTCATTTCGGCGTCCATTTTGATGGCTTGATAAACCACGACAGAAGCACGAGGGCGCAGTTCTCTACCTCAATTTCGCTTTGGACGTTCGGATTGCAGCCCAGTAAAAGTCAACAACTATCGTCGTGCCCTTTCTGTTCGTTGATTTTGGTACTTTTCAAGATCTAACTATCTAGAATTTGTTTTGAATCCACAATTTAACTTTTTCAAAAGTCCTGCTTATCTCTCTTACGAGCCGTTGGTTTGGATTTTCACAAAAATCAGTAAAAAGGTAGCAATCACAGCTTCATCAGTACAATGGATTTCGCCAAGGATGCCGCTCAGCGATGGGCTTGCACCTTCATATTCATTGATATTAGCCAACTAAATCATTCTCAGCCACTTTTTACTTGTCTTGTCTCTGCACGACATCACTTTCGAAAACACAGTTCGTATGAAAAGGCACAAGCGTGGAAAACAAAAGATTGAAATTCATTGTAGTGCGCGACGATGACGCCAGACAAAGAGTACCCAGCCCGTGCAACCCCAATAACCTTTAACTTTTTGATAAGGCCTAACGTGTTAGGCGAAGACTGTTGTTGGAAAATCGTTCAAATTTCCTGTTTAAATTACGACATGTGTCGCATACTCAGATACACAATGCTGACACGCGGCCTTATTGTTGAGATGAAGCGAAAAACGATAACATAGCCCGATGCCGAGTTGGGCTGTCGAGACATGGCCAACAATATGGTTGCCTCCACGTCTGTCCGGAATAATGATGGAATAGTCAATGGTTTAATTGTGTCCACAGGAGAACCAATAATTTCTCAGATCTTTAACGAAATCAGCCGGCCCCAATGTTGGGGAGTGGATTCACAAATATGTATCCAAAACTGAAGAGTCATGTGCAATTAAGCTGTAATACACGGGTTACCTGAAGACTTGGTCTCGTCTGTGTTGAGGTCTTCGGGAGATAGTTGAGTCTGTTCGTCTGTGGGAGGTATAGCGGACATATCCATCACGTCTCTCCTTTGTGTGTGGGTCTTATGGGTATGATCACGCGAATCGCAACAGTCAATACCAGAAATGAACTTCCAACAAGGAACGTTTATTGAATGGAGAACAAGTAGGGAAATTG